TGGCATAAAAATTGAATTAATCTTGTTTCTATATATTTTTATTTTAATGCTTTTATTTAACTAAAAACAGTCCTTAGGATGTAGCTAATTTTATTAATTGTTTGTTCTCTACCATATAATGTCTATGAAAAAAATACCTAATGTAGCTTAGCAAAAAAAAATTAAAAATGATATATATATATATATATATATATATATATGTCTTTTTATCATTTGAAAATTTCGGCAATATTTAAGTCGGTTTATTTTTTTACAAAAGAATAATATGTATTATCTCTTTAGACATTCAAAATTTTCAATTACCAACATTCAACTTAACCAATCTTTGCAAATATTTATTAAATCCTTCCCATATTGATTCTACCGGAATAAGACTTATCTTGATGATGGTAGTGGTTTTTTACATATGCAAAAGTAAGACTGGTGAATAAATATTTTATGTTTGTTCTGTTCAATGAATTTTTTTAAATTTTAGTTTTCAATTTTATTTGCCAATTTAAAGATTAAAATTTTAGTTTTCAATTTTATTTGCCAATTTAAAGATTATATATATATATATATATATATATATATGTATATTGACCATAATAAAGATTTTACAATCTAAGACATCCTTATAAAAATTTATCACATGTTTAGATAATTTAATAGGATGCTGTTTTTAAAAATACATGGTTTAAGAAGTGGTAACTGCTAATAGAAGCACAAGTTGCACATTAATTATTTGTACTTATAAGATTTAGTTGTGGTGATTTTAAAAGTAATATCGATTATTCTATATTTATTTAGTTCTTCATTATTGAATTCTTAAATTGATGACTTGGAATAATGTATAATTCTAAGTTTGGCTATCACTTCTATTTCAAATAACATAATTAAAAAATAAACTTAAATTTAATTTTTTGGTGTAAAGAATAGGTTAATTTGAACTGATTTGATAGCTTTGTTGAATCATTTAGTAATAAGATTATTTTATTATCTATTAACTTCATTAAACTAATTTCTTATTTTGGGTAGAAACATTGAATCCATTCTATTTCTTTTTTCAATCTTTGCATCTTATTTGATACCAATAAATAAACTCAGATTCTATATAAATATCTAAATATATACTTATAAATATATTATGGATTTTTTTCATCTAAATATCACTAATAAAGTATCATTAGCATGTGATACAATAATTAAATGTAGCATTCTTTTGGAAGTAAAAATATTTAAAAATACACTAATTGTATTTTGGTAAATATAAAAATAATTATTTCAATATTAATTAAGCATAAATAGCATAAAAATATGAAATACATATTACTTTTATGCAAAACTAATAATATGATAAAATTAGTTAAAACTATAAAATAGTGGCATTAAAAAAATTAAAATCTGATCAAATAGATAAACTTGTCTAAAAATCCTATTGCAACTATATTTGAAATGCTCAATTTGAAGTAAATTTAAATTTGAATAATTTTTTACATTAAATTTAGTACTTTAGAAGTAAAATATTTAAAATCCTATTTGGTGGTTACAGTAGGATTTGCTTCATTTGAGGCTTAATGTACAACAATTGCTAATATATTCTCTTATATTACCAAGCATTAGTTCTTTTAAAGTTTTTTGGTATGCTTTCAAGGCATATATTAAATTATGATTATTTTTTATCTTCTCTTAAATGTGGTTTAATCCATTTTGAATGAATTGACTATTTTTTTATACTCTTCTTATATAGATAATTATAATCAATTTAAACTATAATTTTTATCTAAATTATTAGCTTCTTATAAGTATTTTAATTCTTAGTAATTAATTTTTTATAAATAACTACTTTGAATTATTTTTAAGATTTAAATTTATTATTTTTATATCTTATTAGAGTTTTGCTAAATTTATGTGGAATTTATTTGTTTGTGTTAGTAAAAAATCATCTTTAACTCTTTGGACCATTAATTCTACTTGCATCTAAAGTCTCAAAAGTTGGTTAAAAAAACCAATTGATAATCATGGTTGTATTCTACATATATTTGATTTTGAATTTTGAATAATAGCATGAAATTCTTTTTTCACAATTTTTTTTTCTTTAAAAAAATCTAACAAAAATTATTAGTAATAATCTAACAGAAGTACTAATCTTACAAAAATTATCATTGAAATCTTTTCTAAGATATATTATTTATTTTTATTTTATTTTTTTCTACGAATTTACATTAGTAAAGGTTTTCAAACCAAAAGTTAATTTTATTTAAAAACATCTAGCAAAGAAGAAATAAAAAAGGAAATTATTGATGATTTTTAAAACGTCTGAAAATAATTATTGTGATGTTTATTTACTATTAAGAAAAAAATTAATTAAATGATATCTAAAAATAATAGAATCGCAATTGTACTTGTATTTATATTATTTTTTTAAAAAAGTTAAATATTCTCATACATATATGAATTATTATCTATTTTCTATTATATAAAATATTATTTTAAGTTTATTTCATTTTAATTTAATTTTGTATCAAAAATAAATAAAATATAATTAGCATAGTATTTATCAAATTTTTTAATAAAATAATATCATAAAATATAATAATATATTATTTTAAAATTTATTTTATGTTTGAAGAAAATAAAAAATTAATATGAATTTTAATTTTTTAGAGTTTTTTTAATATGTATGCAATCTTTATTAAAAAAATATAAAAGATAAAACTTACTATGAATATGAATTCATAAAATCAAATATATATATATATATATATATATATATATATTTATTTATAATATTCTAAGACTTAAGGATTATAGAATTTTAATAAATAGATTTAAGAGACTATAGAAGAAATAAGTAGTTAGTTTATGTTTTTCTAAATTTTTTTGAAAGAAAAAAAATATTGTATGATTAAATAGAAGTTTTTTTAAAAAAATAAAAAAATATGAAGAAATCTTCAATAATTGTGAATGTTTTTAAAAAATATAAACCAACATATATAACATAACATTTTATATGATATTTATATTATATCATGATTTTTTAAAAATATTTTAGATAAGATGTGGATATAATAAATTTTATTTTAAATTCTTTTTTTCTTATGATTGATAAAGATAAATTATGTTGATTTTTAAATTGTAAAAATACCTATAATAAAATAAATAAAAAATAAAAATATGCCTTTTGTTTTGAAGAAGCAATACTCTCTTGTAACACTCAAAAAGAGAAAGTAGACAAATCAAAGATAGATATAAGATAGAAACTAGAATCACTATTTCCAATTATAAAGGGATTAGAGATTCTTGAGCTAACACAAGAATACAAGATAGGTATTGATAATAGTGCAAATGGCTTCACTCATGCCTCTATATATGCTATCTAATTAAGAAGCTATATGACAATGTTTAAAAGGTTGTTGATACATGTCCAACTTGCAAGAAAAGTTTTCAAATATTGATGTGTGTGACAAATTTATATTATTAATTTGATATTATTTTTATTTTTAAAAATTAGATCAAGATAATTTTGACTAAAAATAGATATTGTAAGCATATTTTTTAAAAAAAAACAAAATATATACATGAAATAATATTCTACAAATTTTGAAGATTGTCTTTAAGTCAAGAGAACTTAGAATTAGGTTACCTTAAGAATGCATAAAGTAGTCACGAGCTTCAAAAGAACTCACCCTTAGCCAACATTTCTACAGAAGCAAGTCTCTTCTTTTTTTTCAAAAAAAATCTCTTTTTTGAATTCATCAAGTTTCAAACAATTTGGTCCCTTTATTATGTGGCCTTTGCTTATGGTCAATATGAAGGTAAAGTAATGACTTCTCTTTCAACAAGAAAATATAATGCAACAAACAAATATGTCTTAAAATATGGTCAAATATAAAGCCTTTTTCTAAATGATTATTTATTTCCAGAACCATAAAATAGCTTGAATGTAAGATTTTTTTGTATTTTTTTGAAAGTGTGATATATTTTGATACCTTAATTATTATTTTTTAAAAACTATTAGCAATCTTTTCAAAAAATAATTTGTAGTAGCTTAATTGAATTTTTATTAAAATCTCATCTAACAATTAGCTGGTCTAAAGAATAGTAAGACCACTTCTAATACCATCAACTTATGTTGCACCTTGCAAGCTTTTTGTATCTTAGCATAACCACTTGAAATGTCACAAAAATATGACTCCATCATCACAAATTACAAAAATAATATTATTAGTTTTTTTAAATATTCTAAAAATTACATGTGTCTGGTAGAAATTATATTGTTGTATTTTTCTCACATCCAAGGTAATGAATGGATCCTTGCAGCCAAATAAAATTGTACATACAATATATTTGACAACTATTTATTTTAATAGAATATGTTTATTTATTTATTTTAGAAAGACTAATTAAGATAAAAGATGTAAGGTGACATGTAATTTTTTTTAAATCAATATATATACACACACAGTCTCAAAATACACAATTTTCTTTGAAAAATACATAATAATATAAATTTTAAAATAAATTCAGAAGATTAAATTTGTGAACTCTCTCCCTTCTATTTGTTCAAATTGATAACATTCTCCACAAGCCCTACACAATTGTTCTGAGTTTCCTCCCCAAAGTTTCAAAGGCCTTTGAGCTGCAAATATTTTTCATCACTCTTCACACACTTCTCACAAGTTCCTTGACTCATTCAATAAGTTTGTGACATGTAAGAACAAAAAGAACTGGTGGGTTATGCAATGAAGCATATTCAAGCATTATCCTTTAAAATAAATGAACAAACAAAAATTGAGAAATGAAATGCAATCACCTCAAAAAACTTTGTGAATAACTAACTAACTTCCTGTTTGGCAGAATGAGAATTCAGTAGAAGAAGAACAAAAGTAAGAAAAGTCCAACATTAGCAAGTCCAGGTCCAAAGGATGGAAAAGGGGGTGCAAAGGGAGAATGAGTAGAAGAAGATTTGCTTTGAGCACAAACTTGGGGATTTGAAATCATGAGGATGATGATGATGATGATGATGAATATGTGGATATTATTATGTGCCCCAAATCTTCATTTTCACACACTAAGCATAGTCATCACTTGAGGATGATATCTTAAGACCCATGTGACCAAATGATGAAACCCCATTTGACATCTGCCACACAACCCTCCCAATAAATAAATTTAATGGTACCCTTCCACAGGACACACCTGCACCCACACCCACTCAATCAAATAAAGAAAAAAAAGAATGTATATCATTGTCAACAACAGAGAAAGTAAGTAATACAATAAAGTAAAAAAAGTAAAAGTAGGAGAAGAGAGAGATACCACCCCTCCTCCATTCCTCCAGTCCTCCATGGAGGAAGAAACTGCTCCCACACAAAGCTGCTCTCCCCCTGGGCCAGAGAGAGTCACACACTGTGAGCATGACTGCAGGGGGGCAGGAGAGGCTGCTGCTGTGGCCACACTTCACTCCCCTTTCATACTTCCTTCCCCATTGGAAAGGGGAGTCCCCCTTTGCTCATGTGAAGGGTGTGTCTGTGTGTATGTGTGTATGTATGTATGAGACCAGGAAAAGGGGGGCTCCTCAGTTGCCAAAGTAGTACACAAAGTCATAAAGAACCATGGCCCCCCTGCCTGCTGGCTGGCCGGCCAGCCAGCCTCCATTTTTATTTATTTATTTATCTACTTATTTGCAGTTTTGAGTATTTGTCTCTCAATGAGTTTCAGTTGAACTGATCAATCAATTGGGGGCCATGATCCCCAAAGAGACTCAGTCAAGCTCTCTGCATCAATATTAGTTGGTACCATCATCCTCTCCCCTTCTTCTTCATGCAAGTCTGCTCCATGTTGCCCTGCCATTACAAGAGTCTCTCTCTATACCACCACCACTGCTGAAAAGGGAGGCAGGGAGGGGGCCCATGACCAAGTTTATGCTTTGGTCACACAGCGTAACCCCTGAGACCAAGCCCATTAGAATTCTGCAAAAAAACCTATATGCATACACAAAAGATAACTTTTTTTTAAAAGTCTGAATGTGTATGGTGTAAAACAGGAAATAGAGAGAAAGTGAGAAAGAGAATATTCCTAGGGTCTGGAAGTTTTTAGTATTATATACTACAAGAAAAAGAAACTATGGATTTGAGTGAATTTGGGTGCCCATGATGAAACAATTGTTTGAAATTTGCAAAACATGCATAAATAAATAAATAAATGAATAAGAAGTTAATAGTTGTGTGGTTTTATTCTCAACTGGTATAAATGGAAGATAGGAAGACACTTGCAAAGGTTTACGAATCCAATCTAGTTTTTCAATCAAGCCTTGATCAACTATAAGCAATTGTAGAAGATTTTTCCACCTGTATTTAAGCATATCCATCATTTGATATTCTTGAAAATTCAATCTGTTTCATTTTAAATCATTCACACCAAAAATAAAATAATAAAATAATAAAAAAAATAATAATAAACACACACACACACACACACAATTCATCCACATATTAAATATATATAAACTTTAAGTCTTAAAATATTACTTATTAAAATACTATTCATTTTTGTACTTTTGCCATCTAACTTTATTTATTTACTGTATATTGAGTCATTCAAAAAAATTAGGTAGGAGGAAGAAAAGATTTTGAGAATTTTTTGCAGCTCATACAAAGAAAGAAAGAAAGAAAAAGAAAAAGAAAAAAAACACCATAGATTTATGCCTTAGTAATATCCCATGTTAATTCTTTATTAAAAACTTTCTCATAGAATTGTAACTCAATCAACATTCGACCACTATTTTTGCCAAAGAATATATATATATATATATATATATATATATTAAAAAAAATAAGGAAATGTTACAATAATCCATCCATTTATTAAATCAACTCATCTTATTGAAAAACAAGAGGGAATAAGGAGGGTTGGGATGAGAGCTGAGAACAAGGGGTTTTGATAAAGAAGACTGGGAACAAGTGAGCAAGGGTTGGAAATGAGAGGGTTGGAATGATGGATTGATTGTAATAATGATTTTTGAAGACAATCTATTTTTTTTATTGATGGTTACAATAGGGTGAGTTGATTTAATAAAGGCTTTAGGAATAGAGAACTCATGTCTTGCATTGCAGCTCGTACATTGTCTATGTTTCCAATAATATTTTCTTAGTTATGAATAATGAATTTTTATCTCCATCTTCTAATACATTACATATTCTAGTAAAAAATTCATGTGATTTTTTTATAAAAAAAAATTAGTTTAATTTTTTAAATCTTATTTTTTTTACTTTTTTTCTAGTACTTTCTTATAATTAGAAAAATTCAGAATTTAGAAAAAAAATAAAATAAATAAAGGTATATAAAAAACTAACTAATTGCCAATTTTTCTATTATAAAAAATAAGAAAATATCATATGGAATAGAAGAGGCGAAATTAAATCTAGAGCTTAAACATCAATGATTGGTAGAATATATAAAACTCAAAGCTCTTCAAAATATAAGTCAAACAATTCTAATAAGAGGATTCAAACTTAAGTATTTTGGCAAACCAAATATCACAAATCATTCAAAATATCACCTCTCAAACTTTATTAGTATCTTTAAGTTTTTGAAGTATCATTTGATATTTTGGTGATTTTGAAAAGTCAAAAAGCAATGTAGTATGGAGTCAAAGAAAGAAGATAGTTAAGGCAAGCAAGGCAATTTTTGATATTTCACCAGCCCTTCTTTTGATATTTGGATTTCAAAATCACCCACTTCACAAAGTGGGTGATTAGGTGAAATATCAATTGATATTTTGAAATATCATGGGTGAAATATCATCCAAAAACTTTAAGTCTAAATCCTCTGAATATGTCTAGAGATAGTACACCTTCTTCTTATTAAATTAAGATTTTTTTAAACTTTGATTTGTATTCTTTTAAAAAATAAATAAATAAATAAATAAAAACTTAATTAATTTTAAATTCATATATATTATCTTCAAACTATAAAGATATTTTTTTGCAAATAATTCTTTATAAACAAGAAAAATAATCATATTATTATATTTCTAAAATATTACAAGGTGATTTACATTTAATGGAGTTTCAAATCTACATGAACTTGTGGGTTTTCTTAATGTGCTATTAGTGAAGTGGATGCTAAAAACTAATAATTCTACATAAATTAATTCTTCTAGCATTTTTGAGATATAAATTCAACTCATATGAAGTTGTAAAAATAATAGCAAGGTGGCAATTGAACCAAAATGGGATGAAAAGATTTACTTCTACATTTGCTACAGTATAAAAATAATTGGAGGAGAATAAGAAGCATTAAATATGTACTTGTATGTGTAGTAATTTGGAGTCCTATGGCCAATCATGTCTTTAGAACTCAACAAAACCCTAATATGGCAGAACTTAATAAAAACCTCTTTATCTATCTTTCAACATTTCTATCAACATTTAAATTCATCCAACACAATTTTTATTTATTTATTTATTTATTTTTCGTTCTTGTATTTTGGCTCTCAGTTTATAATATAAGTTACAACATTCTTTAAACTTACATTTTTTAAATTTAATATATATTGGTTCAGAGTTTTCTTGAACTTTATAATATCAAGCAAGAAAACAATATGAAACTGCTTATGCACTTATAATCATGGACATTAAGTAATTAATGGTTGGACAGTTTAGAAACTATTTATGGCTAAAGTTTGCAACAAGAAATGTACTAATAACTATAACTATTGCTAATCAAGTTGGAAAGAAATTGTTCAACCCAACAAAAGCTGAACAATGATAAACTTGTTTGTCTTGATATAAATGCAATTATTGTCCAAGTTGCTTATTGTCAACTTCTAAATATATTTTCTATTGGTTTCAGTATTGCAAGTAAGAAATAAAAATATATAACCTAGTGTCTTTTTTTATTGTTTAAAATTATAAACTCACAAAGTTTGAAGCAAATCATAGCAAGTCAATTCTTGGCATCAAACAATACTATGATGATATAATATAATTAAATAGGCAAATACATAAACCTCCTTACCAATTCTTAAAGTCTAAAGATATTTGAACTTTACTTAGAGGCATCACATGTGGACTATACAAACACATTGCAACAGCATATTTTTTGGTGTGTCTCATTGGAAAACCCAAAAATGTAAAAACTGTACTCTCTACTATGTTATCATCCAATTGATTACATTCAAACTACATTATCTTTTTAAAAAAATGTTACACTTCAATTCAACCACAAAGCTTCATTCTTTGTCGATAGTATTTGACACAAATGACAAAATCTGTCTTCAAGGTGCAAAAAAAGTTTCTTAGATTGGTATCACATCCCATTCAAATGCAATTTAATTATCCATCCAGCTATGCCAAGACACAATAAAGTCAACAAACTAGCATCCCACCCAGTCAAAATAATTAGTTCATGAACCAGTTTTGCTCTGTAAGATTGCTTTTTTAATGCATTGGGTACACCCCTTTTGTGTCAGTAATAGGACCACTAATCATGTTTTCTGGACACTCATTAATACACAAAATGAATGAACTGTTTATCCACAGGATACTTGCAAAAGCAAAAAAGCAAAATAAAGCCCCTTCTAAACATGGCTAGTTGTCTCCAAGTAAGGCAAACAAAGTCTGCAAGATCAAACTTGTGACAGCAGCAGGAGCAACAATTATAATAACATTGAAATCAGAATTAAAAAATCCATCAAATTGGGAGAGTGTTCCAGACAAAGCTCCATTGGTGCTGAGAATCTGTGGGGCTACAGCATTCCCCTTTCCAATGCCCAAGGACTAGCTTTCCCCTCTAAGCAAGGCAAGCACCCACCTCATTAAATTTGTCCTAAAGCAAAATCGGAGCTCCTGCACAGGGTCTTAAATTAAGTGAAGTTCCACATCTGGAAAGTGAGTATCATGGCAGTACAGTAATTTTAGGCCAAAGCCTATGGCTCATCCAACAATCCTGAAAGCCTGAAACATTGTTATGTTGAGCAACACACAAGACTCTCACTGTGAGCATGAGTCTACAGTTAGTAGTCGCACATGGACAAAACTAAATACTTGTACACCATGACACAATTCACTGTGTTTTAATTGCAGTGGTGTGGGTTTATATCACCATATTGTGTATTTGCTTAAAATCATCAAAGAGCTGTGTGTTTTGATCAGGGTTCATATGTTGTTGTAGCTCCTTTTTGTACAAAGTATTTGACCCAGCTGAGGATATATATATATATATATATATATAAATAGAGAGAGAGAGAGAGAGAGAAAACCAAAAGGACTATTCACAGGGGCTATGGTGGTGGGGGTGCTGTCTATTTGTAGGGTTTCATAGAACATTCTGTTTCTCTCTCCCATACATGGTCTGGGGGCAAAAGGGCCTGGGAGACAGGGCCAGATATTTTCCATGTCATACAAGTCTTTTCCATGCAATGCAATGCAGTCACACTCGTGTTAACTTACATGCACCAATTGGGTGTATCTGTGTGCAACTTTGAATTCCCCCAATT